AGATTTTTTAATTTTTCCAAATTAAAATTCTCAAAATCGAAACGGTTTTCTTCTCTCTTTTTTATATTAAGTTTTTGTCGAAGTATCGCGATTACTAATTCATAATCCGACCCACATTCTGCTCCGCGATAAGACCACACATTGATTATACTGCTTTGCCAGCTGTGTTGTATCAAGACATGATCGATTTGATTTCGTGTTTGCGGATCCGGTGATGTCCAAGTATATTTATGAATATCCTTATGTTTAAACGTCGTACTTTTAATTATCAGGTTTTTCGAGATGGCAAAGTTTATCAGACGGATCCCATTATCATTACTATATTCGTGCAAACTTTCTTTACCAATCGTCGGAATATAAACTTCTTCCCTTCCTACCTTTGCGTTGGCGTCACCTACAATTATTTTCATGTAGTTTCGCAGTAGTTTATCATAAACCCATTCGAGTTTATCGTAAAATTCACTTTTGACTTCATCGTCACTGTCTTCGGTCGGACAATGTATGTTTATTAATGCGATTTTAAACCAACGTCCCTGAAATATAGCTACCGAAATTCTATCACTAAAGAATTGTACTTCGCTCAAAGCGGATAGTAATCTACTCCTAATTAGAAACCCGGTACCTAAACAATGATTCCGCTTCCTCCGTACCAAATAGTGTACTTTCCTTCCCTCATCGATCCCTCCCCTGGCCAGCGAACCTCTTGCAGAGCCACGACATCCAAATTGTACCCATTTACCTCATTCGCGACCGATTTTAGCCCCCCTGCTGTGTTTAAACTCCTTATGTTCCACGTCCCAATATTTAAATCCCTATATTTCAACTTGCGCCATGAATCCCCTAAAGCAGTCCCCACCCGGAGACCCGAACGGGGGACTAGTTTACCTCCGGATAATGAGCGTTTTACCTTAGGGAGATCCATGACTTTTTGTGGTGTTTGGTGAACTAAAGATATGAGAGTAGGGCGTTCAATCCTACGTCACACCATCCAGCAAGTCTGGTGGGCCCCTACCTCCAGAAAGTCATAAAAATAATAAATTAAAAAAAAATTGTTTAATTTTTTTGGAGAATTAAATGATTGCATTAATATTTTTTCGTTAATACAATCAATATAATGTACATAAAAAAGTTATTATAGCACTATAATTAGGCCATTTATGAGCTCTGAATGGTAGTCCTGTATGCACCCACCGCAATACCGCTTTTCTGCAGGTCATGTGCATTTTCTAAGGAACTGCTTCAAATATTTACAAAAGTAATCAGTGTTTTAGGAATTAAAATACACTTTCCAGATGTTTTATTTCAGCACGTCTTGCGTTATTGATGGCTGTTTAATTAAAATTGACGCTTGATTTTCAACTTGTTAAAAACATTGACTTTACTGGTGTTTTTACTGCCTAAGCCAATTATTTTTTAATATTTTTTCATGTTTTGTTAGTCTCTGACTATCCAACTTTAATAAAATACCATGTTGGACCGAACTAGGCCAAATGCTGATTCTCAGTGACTAAAAAACTAACTAAACTTAAAGTCGTCAGTCGACCATGTTTGGACACCATTTTGGGGTAGTTCGTTCACTTTTTTTAGTGGGAATATTGTTTGTTTTTAATAATAAATAGTTACAAGGAACTCAACGATATGCAATTTATAGGGATGTGGGGAGGGGGGTGCACGGTAGGGGGTTCTGGCCCACCGTGTAAATGACTCTCAATGCCTGATAGGCAGTTAAATCAATGCTAATGTGTTATTAGTCTCGAAAAAACTAAATTTGACCTTTTCACCTTTTCATTTTCAACAAGCTTTCTTTAAAATTATGTTTTTTTCTGTAAAGTAAATGATAGCAAATGTCAATACAGTTTTGGTTAATAAAAATAATGCTATTGAGCCATGTTTAAATCAAGGTGTCCATCCACTATGAAAAAAAAATAAATAAATAAGAGAAAGAGGAGAAAGAGGAAGGAGAGAGTGAATATAAAAAAAAATCTAATTGAAGCGAACAATTTCAATCAATTAAAGTATTCATCAGTTAAGTGAAACAAAATGTTTTTGGGGCATAGTGTTACAAAGGACTGAAGAATGAATCCCATTACTATAGTTTCTGTTCAAACTAATATCTAGGAAAAATGAAAGAACAAACAGCTTAGAAAAAACTATGAATTAATGAAAAAAATAAGATATTGAACGAAACAATTATGAGTGCATGTACAAATAAGTTTTTCCTTATACAGTGGTTCTAACAATTTATACACCTTTACACTCCGTCGATTAACACTAATAGATGTATTTTAAGAAAAAGTTAAGTGAAAATTATAGAAGTCTTAGTTTCGGGTAAATCATAACCTACTAAAACATTAATTAAAACTAATTTTCTAATTTTAATTAATAAGAATTATTTGATTAAAGTTTTTATGGTAAAATTTTCAGATTGATTTTATCTAAAACCTTGAAATCTGCAGAGAAAGCATATAAATAAATTATTATAGTACCACAATCACAATAATTAGAACCTTGTGATTTTGTGTTTTAATAATATTTATTGATATAGTATTTTGGCATAAAAATCTATAGTTTACAGTATCACTCTTACCACCATTAATATGAATCATGTTATATATATTTAAATTATTATTAATTAATATCACAGCTTTTTCCACAGACAACATGGTTAACAAATCTAAAATATATCTATACAAAACTTACCGACACCTTTGTTCTGCAACATTTCTAACAGCTTCTTGATGCTTTCGTCTCTAGCTTGAAGAGTTTGTTTTTGAGATTCAATCCTCAATTCTAAATCCTAAAAATCATAAATATTTAGATAAACTATTAAATTAAAAGTAAAAACTATTAATTATCAACAAAATATACATAAATGTTGAATATTAACGAAAGAAAAAACTATTTCAAAGAGATTTAACCATTAATCATATTAATGAATTTTACTGTTGAAAGATTGAAAAACAAAGCCTGAAGTCTCTCAAATAGTTAATAACCATTTAACATTTTACTATTTAATGCATCATCAGAACTGGATATAAAAAAAAAACATTTGAATGCAGACGTAGCAAGAGATAGCATATCTCAATTTAACAGCCTATAATATAATAATTAAATAGAGACAAGTCAATATATAATGTTATCTAAATTTCAGGTTATGTCAAGTTATATCTTTTGTCTTTTGTAGGATGTTGAAGTGTGATGTACTATTTCTTGTCTGTATTAAGACCCATCCAATCCGATCTGATGCCTTGAAGGGTGGAAATGATAAATTAAATTTTGTGATGTTAATCGCCTAAACATAAAAGTTGGAATCCAATTTTGGAAAGACGGAAGATCTTCCCTATCTTTAGTGGGGGGAATGACGTAATTTTCCGGGGGCGCCAAATGTTTAAGGCCGCCACTGTTTAGAACAGACGTTTTCTTGGGTCATATGTCTATGCTCAACTTCAGGTTAGCCTACTTCTATCTAAGTACAGCCGAAAGTGTTGGTTTGGGAATCAACCATTTATTTAAAATTATGGATTTGTCCTCTCTATAAAAGATAAGCTCCAAGAAGCACTGAATTGTATTGATGACTAGTCGAAATCACCGGGACTCCGTTTCTCTTCTGAAAAAAAAACAAAACAAATCTATTCACTACAGCAGAAAAACAAATACTCCACAATCGCCAGAACTTCTTTCAGGTGACGGCACCTTACCATATGTCAACACTTGCAAATTCTAGGGATTATTATTAGTGTTGGTCAAATGCTAGTCCGAGAATAGTCTTGGTCTTGCAAACTCAGTCTTGGCGCAAGTGCTCTCCCTGATTGAGCACTGGTGTAATAAATGGCGTATTAAAGTAAACGAACCCAAATTCCAACACATCACCTTCACGCTCCGACGCAGTCCCTGTCCATCAGTACACTTTAATTCCATCCAGCTTCCTTTCTCATACACAGTCCGGTACCTTCACTTTCCCTTAGACAGACGACTAACGTGGAACCCTCATACTTGACTTAAAAGACGGGAACTAAACCGACGATACGGCCAGCTATGTAGACTACTAAACACAAAATCTAAACTTTCCATTGAAAACAAGTTACTGCTCTACAAGACAATACTGAAACCTATCTGGAATTACGAACTTGAACTGTGGAGAACAGCAAAATTTTCTAACATCAAACGCATCCAATCATTCCAATCCAAAGTCCTTCGAACAATAGTCGATGCTCCTTTCTATGTATGTACCAACATAAAAGACTTTTGGCGTTCTGTATTGAAATTTCGAATTTAATAGGGCAAACCAACTTTAAATGCCTTTCACGATCAAAAGACATAAAAATCAATACAAGCAATAAGGAAAATTATAAAAAATTAATTAAACATTTGACCGAGAACAATCACGAATTTCATTGTTTCAAATAAAAGAAGAAAGAACCTACAGAATTGTCTTGAGAGGACTTCACTCCTCTACCCCTACGTCCGCCGTCAAGACTGACCTTGAAGAGTTTGGGGGCACAATGTGGGACTCATCTCGAACTTGCTTCATCCACGGGAAAAATATCCTTTACTTCTCTTTTTTTTCGACCTTAAGCCTGCACCTATAATATTAAAATATTTAATGTCAACCGACTGGTGTTGTATAAGATTCGAGAAACCTAAACAAAGGGCCAAATTGTCTAATGCACCAATTGTCAAATACTTGGCCACACTAAAGCGTACTGTTACCATCAAGCCAGGTGTGTAAAACGTGCAGGCCCCCACGCTTCCAGCGTTTGCAACAAGCTTTGGGAAACTCCGGCAATATGTGATCTAATGTAGTGATAAGCATTCTGCAAATAATAAAGGTTGCATAGTTTATAAAACATGAAAAGTCAAAACGTTTAATTGCAGCCTTAAAATTACAAGAAGAAACAGTTCCGGTGAACAAAAACCGTTTCCGTCATCGAGGAATGATCGTACTCAGCGAACCACTACCATCAATTTATATCAACGGCATGTGAAATCCACGAATATGTATGCAGCACTCATACCGTAAACGACCTACGTCAACATCAGACGTCTCAAGCCTCCTTACCTCAGTTCTCCCATTCTCAGTCTCAGCCCTCATATCTTCAGTCTCAGATCTCCCATCCTCAATCTAATATATCAAAAAATAACATCCCTTCCAAAAATGTATCCTGAAGGGTCAAGTAACCTACTCAGATTTCATCACATATCAATCCCAAACATCCTGACTTATCCCTATCTTCCTTTCAATCCTTATCCAACCCTTTATCCAATTCCTTTACATGTGGAACATACTCAACGATCCTAAAAGAGAGTCCTTCCTCCACCTAGACAAGTTCCTCCACCACATGACACTTTCTATTCCTATCCCAACCATAATCCAACTGACATAGCATTTGTTCTCTCATCCTTCCTTCATGATCTTCAAGATACCATCAAACCTCTCATCACACGTCTTACCGGAATCCTCTAATAAATCCCGTTCAATATCCCACGATGAGTAATAAGACCCCAAGTATCCTGTTGTGGAATGCAAATGGCTTACAGAATCATCGAGACGAACTTGATGTATTTCTTCACACAAATCTCATAGACGTTGCCTTAGTGACTGAAACCCATTTTACATCACATACCTACTTTTACATAAGATACTACATCACATACAGATCAGATCACCCAGCCAATACATACCATGCAGGCTATTGTATCCTAATTCATAAATTCTTATCCCATTCCCTAATCCCTTCTACTTCAACAGACAATATTCAATCAACATCCATAATATTATCTTCTCGCCCATTTAATATTATCAGCCTGGTAATTCCCTTTCCTTTAATCATATTGATTCCTTATTCCGCACCTTTGGTCCGCGCTTCATTGCTAGAGGGGATTACAACGCCAAAGACCAACGGTGGGAATGCCGAACGTCCAATACTCGTGGTAGGATACTTTCTCGTATCACATCCACCAATAGTTACTCCATTCTGTCTCCCAAGAACCCTACTTACTGGCCTACATCTCTCAAGAAATGTCCTGATATCCTAGATATATTCATTACTTACCCTCCTTTCAATAAACAATCAAATCCTTAGACGACCTTTCATCAGAACATTCTCTTGTTCTGCTTCTCATGCATTTAAATGCTATTCCTAAACCCTGTCCTACATCACTGATTACAGGACAAGTAAACTGGGACAATTTTCGACATGACCTAGAAAACAATTTGGATTTAAAAATGCCGTTAGAAACTAAAATGCAGATTTATTCCGCTATTGAAGAACTATAGAAACCTCCATCAATAACAACACATCACATTCCAAAATTTTTGGAAGAATAAACCAACCTACCACATCACCTAAGCATATTACTAACAGAAAAACGACGGGCAAGATCCAAGTGGCATAAAACCAGATATCCATCGGACCAAATTCTTTACAATAAACTGACAAACAAACTAAAAATAGAAATCAGAAAACACAAAATTCAAAATTTTCAGAATTTTACTGGAAACCTTACTACCACTGACAAATCATTATGGACAACTACTAAAAAGCCATTCAATATCATCCACTCCTCACTAAATCACAAACCTGGTCAAGATCTGACAAAGAAAAGTCCTAAATATTTGTTGAACACCTTTTCAAAACCTTCAACTCTCATACCGATATAGTCAACCCTATCGATCATGAACATGATGAAGCAGAACTTACTATCCCTCTCCAGATATCCTTTCCTCCTAAAGCCTCCCACCCCTCAGAAATAATTAACATAATTCAGAAATTGTCTTCCAAAAAAGCTCCTGGTAACTATCTCATCATCTCCCAAATCCTAAAGCAACTTAAATGAAAAGCTGTCCTACTCCTCACCTATACATATATATATATATATATATATATATATATATATATATATATATATATATATATATATATATATATATATAGGGAACCGGGGTAGCCACATGGGCTAAGGCGGTTAAGCAACGTCGAACGTGGTCAGTACTTGGATGGGTGACCGCCCTTTTCGGATGACCGTCCATCACGGAAAGGCACACTCTCCGAGATTCCTCCCTTCCCCCCTCGTGTATGTGAGACCCGTCGACTATGTGCTGATAGACAAGAGTCATCAAAGCTCCATACAAGACATAATCGTGGAGCAGACTGTTATTCAGACCATACTCTGATTAGAATAAAACTCTGTCAGAGGCTGAAGCGAATCGGGAACCAAATGGAAAGAAAGAGGTACGAAGTCCGTAATTTGAAAAACCCTATAGAGCAAGCTGAATTTTAAATTGAGCTGAAAAATAAATTTGAACCCTTGAACTCGGAAGATCTCATGGTTAACCAACACTGGGAGGCACTAGAGCCAGGGCTAAAACAAGCAGCTAAGCAAGTAATAGGGATTCAGGAAAAAAGAAAAGCCAAGAAATGGTTCACAGAAGCATGCGAAAATTCAGTGGAGGAAGGAAGAAAGCTAGGCTGGACAAATACACAGCCACCACGAAAAAGACAAACAAAATAAAATGAACAGCCAAAAGATAATTCTTGAAAGAAAGATTACAAACTATTGAGCAAAACTTGCAGGCTGGAAATATATGCGAATCCTTCGCAGATATCAGAAAAGAAGGGGTAGGGTATAAAGCGAAAAATAAACAAATGCGAGGTAATGATGGCAAATTGATGGCATCAAAAGAAAAGATCCCAAGCATCTGGAAGGAACACTTCCAGCAGCGACTTGATCAAGGACATCCCACAAACGAAGAAGACATGGGCCACACTGAGGATATCGACCCACTTGACGTTGAAAAACTAGATATTCTGGATGTGGAAATAGCTATCGGCAGGCCTAAAAGAAGAAAGGCTCCAGGGATAACCAACCTACCATCAGAATTGTTCAAGGATGGGGGAGAAGAACTCAGAGCTAAGCTGTTAGATCTAATCCAAAAGATATGGGAGAAGGAACGGATACCAGAAGCATGGAAAAAAGGGTTTATCTGTCCTATCCTTAAGAAGGGGTCCATGTATGAATGTGGCAATTACTGAGGCATGGCACTTCTTCCGGTCGGCTATAAAATAATGACTAATATTCTGCTAAATTGGATATATCCGTATTATCAAAACACAATAGGCGACCATCAAACAGGGTTCAGGAGGGAGGGGTACGCTAGATCAGATATTCATCCTAGAACAAGTACTTGAAAAACGATGGGAAGTGGATCAGGACGTACATGCATTGTCGACTTCAAATCAGCCTATGACTCCGTGGACAGAAACTGTCTCTGGAAGATCATGACTGAGCTGGGTGTTCCCGGGAAATTAGTGAGTTGACGAAGGCGTGTAAAAATGATCCTAAATTCAGGGTACGAATACAAATAAAGTATCTGAAACCTTTAAAGTTCGAACTAGTTTAATGCAGGGAGATGGACTCTCACCGATGCTGTTAAACTTAGCACTAGAGAAAGTAGTAAGAATAACATCACGTGGAGATGGAGGGGTGCACGTTGGAATAACACATAAAATCCTCGTATATGCCGATGATATAGCTGTCCTCTGAAATAATCAAGAGGATATTGAGAGACTCGCTCGGACTCTATAAAAAGAAGCAGAGCAAATCGGACTACAGGTCAATGTAGATAAAAAAAAAATACATTACAGTTAGCCGAAACATCCACCCTAATAACATGATCTGCGTGGACTCTATTCCCGAAAGTTATTCCCGAAAGTAGACAGATTCAAATACCTCGGCTCCACAATAACCTCAATAAATGATCAACTAACAGAGATAGATCAGCGAATAACAAGTGCGAACAGATCTTTCTTCTCTCTTTCAAAGGTACTTAAATTCAGGAAAATCTCATAAATAAGAGTGTACAACGCCGTGATTAAGCCAGTTCTGCTGTACGGTTGTGAAACCTTGGCTCTAACCGGCACACTAGAAGCCAGAATTGAGAAATTCGAAAGAAAAGTTCAACGCAGGATAACATGACCTATATGGGACCAGAACCTTGACACATGGAGGAGAAGGAACAATAAAGAACTGCTGAAAAAAACGAGTCAGTCAATATCTCATAAAATGAAGGCAAGGAGGTTACGATGGGCATTGCATGTAGCTCGTAACAATACACCAGAACGCCTTTACACGACAATGAATGCCAGAGTAGAAGGCAAGAGACCATGTGGGAAGCCAAAAACCAGATGGATAGACAGGATAAACAAAGATACGGCTGAGCTTCATGCCGCAAATTGGAAAGCAGTAGCCCAAGATAGGCAGAGGTGTAGAAGGATGGTTCAGGCGGCCAAAGATCTACAAGGTCTGTTGAGCCAACCGAATATATATATATAGAATAGAATAGAATAGAAAAATAATTTTATTCTGGGACGAAGTCCCTTCAGAATAACAAAAACGTACAGAAATTAAAATTTTACATCTGGCCAGATAAAAACAAACATAACAAATTAAGATAATGATAGGTCATTAAAGAAAAGAAAAGAAAAAAAATATTGGTTATACATACTATATACAAAATAAAATAAAAAATCGATATAAAAAAACTCTTGAAACCATGCTAAGATACTTAAAACTATGTACGATGTTAAAATATAAATAAACCCTTTTAGAAAAAATAAAAAATACAGAAAAAATAAATGTATATTCTTCTTAACAGTAAAATCTGTTTCTGTTGAAAAAAAAAAAAAAAAAAAAAAAAGAGAAAAAGAAAGTCGAATCTATAATAAGTATTCAGGTCATGAGCTATATGTGAATATGGTCTTATAGATAATGTGTAATTTTACATAAAAGATTAGCTGGTGCCTGACTGTTTTTGGGACAGGAATTGGAATAGGAGGGTTTTGAATGTAGATAAGGATGAAGAATGTCGAATTTTGATAGGAAGGGAATTCCAGAAACTAACAGAACGTGCAATAAAGGAGTTTTGGAACGAGGCAGATCTGTGAGAAGGAATGTAAAGGTCGGAAGGTCGAGATCTTGTGGAGAGGGAGTGGACTGAGGACTTGAATTGGAGAAGGTTGTAGGCGTAAGAAGGACGATGATTGTTGATGATATGATAGAGGAACCCTTAATTCATAAGGGTTTAATAGAAAAATATCCCAACTTATCTGACCCCTAATCGTCATGGATACTCTGTTCGATTTTCACCATTTCAGTCTAACAGACTGGTATGTGCTACTTCTCAATACTTTGGATTAGCAGGTGGCGGAACATTATTTGTGCTTGATCTTGTTTCAAATGACAGTTTTGAAGAAGTTGCTCGGTATGAATGGCAAGATGGTTTATTTGATGTAGTATGGAGTGAATCAAATCCAAACATACTTGTTGCTGCAAGCGGTGATGGAATTCTACATATATGGGATGTTAATTCTCCCAAGGCTCCTGCTAAAATTCTGAAAGAACATAAAAAAGAAGTTTACAGTGTTGACTGGAGCCAAACTAGGCAAGAACAACATGTTTTGTCTGCATCATGGGACTGTTCAATTAAACTGTGGGATCCAACTAGAAGTTCGTCACTTTCCACATTCCTTGGCCATTCACAGCTGGTATATAATGCTATGTGGTCTCCTCATGTCCCATCATGTTTTGCTTCTGTGTCAGGTGATGGCACAATGAAAATATGGAATTCAAATGTTCCACAGAAGGCATCGATGACTATGAGAGTGCATGACGCAGAAGTTCTGAGTTGTAGTTGGTGCAAATATGATGCAAACATCTTAGCTACCAGAGGATCTGATGGTCTCATCAGGGGTTGGGATCTGAGGAGTCTTGCTTACCCAATATTTGAGCAAAAAGGTTGTGAATATGCTGTTAGAAGAGTTCAGTTTTCACCACACTACCTATCGATTTTGGCTTCAGTTTCATATGATTTTACAACAAGGAGTTGGGATTTTAAGGCCTCTTCAGAAGCTGTTGAAACAATTAGGCACAATTCGGAATTCGTATATGGTTTAGACTTTAATAATCATATAGAAGGACAAATTGCAGATTGTGGCTGGGACTCTCTTATTCATGTCTTCACTCCTAGATCTCTCACTTCGCTCTCTTCTTGTTAATAATTATCATTTTTAAATTGTTTAAAAAAAATGCCCTAGCAATATCTTTATTGTTGTATAATTATATGTATGTATATTTAAGTAATTGTATATATGTGAATATAAATAAATGTTATAAATAATGAACTGCTGATTATTATAAAATCAAGTTTTGATTATATAGATTAAAAGCTTGTAAAATACAAGAGAATTTTTTTTTTTTTTAATTTTGTTGTTGCCCTTGTTGAAAGTGTCAACTTTATGTTATTATTTAAAATAATTTTGAAAGCTTTAAAGATGGTATTTAAAATGTTTTTATTTTTCTTTATCAATTTTATTATTTAGTGATATAACATTGTTAATTTTTAAATTATAGTTGTAATTTAAACAAATGATATCACAACCTTGGGGGAAGGCTGGCATAATTCAAAAATTTTTTTCATATTGATGTTTATCCAAAAGTGGAAAACCATTAATATTTTTCTAGTGATTTCTTATAAATTATCTGTTTATTAATATGTGTATACAAACAAATGTGCACCCACAAAGAGAGCACTCTAGTTAAAAATTACATTTTGTGTTGCGCCAGACTTCTTGCAAGCTAGCGATAGGTTTTATTATCATTCTAAATGATTTGTTGGTCTGTGATTGTAAACCAGAATTATTTTATTACATGTTTTAGTACATTAAATAAGTTTGTTTTATTTTGAATGAAGGCTCATTAGTAACTGTCTCAGTCTTCAACTTCATGACTATGGGCATCGAAACTTGAAATAAAAACTAGTTATTAACTTTTTATTATATTTTTTTCATTATTATTAATTTCATGAAATAAAGTTTATATTTATTGTGTATGATGCCCATGCTTGTGTTGGAATAATTTTTAAAAAAATGTGGCAATATACTGCATAGTCTTAATTGACAATAAACTGAAATATATATATACATATATATATATGCCGTACTTAGAACCACTTATTTTCCTATAGAAAAACTGATATTAAAACACCTTTACCTAATCCTAGACTCATATCACTTGATTCCTGACCACCAGTTTGGATTTCGAACATCTCATTCCACTATTCATCAGTGCCATCGTGTGGTGGATATCATTTCCTCCACATTGGAACGAGACCACTTATAGTCCTCAAAAAAGCATCTTAGGTATCATCCTTTACACAGTTTATACAGCAGATATTCTGACCCATCCTTCTACCGTCCTTACCACTTATGCTGATGACACATGTGGGTTATCTTGATATAATGAACAAATTGTAGCATTTCAAACACTGCAGTTACACATTTCAGCCATTGAAGAATGGTGTCATACCTGGAGAATCAAAAATTAATCCAAACAAATCCTAACATATTACTTTTACCCTCCGTCGTAAACCTACAACAGCCAGTAGTACCGTATCCTTTAATAATATTCCCCTTATCCCTGTAGAACAGATCCGTTACCTAGGACTCCTTCTAGACAAACGCCTTACCTGGAATCCTCATACTTGTCTTAAAAGACAAGAAACTGCCAACAGATTCCGACTACTACAACACTTACTTGACAAACGCTCTAAACTTCCAATATTATACAAAAATCTCATTTACACTACCATCATCAGGCCCATTTGGACATACAGTATTGAGCTTTGGGGCTCTACAAAAACATCAAATTCTTCCCGTATCCAATCTTTACAATCCAAAATCCTCCGTAAAATCCTAAATGCTCCTCATTGTGTAACAAATAAAATTATCCATAAAGACCTAAACATTCCTCTTGTGGAAGACTTGGCCTGAACTAGATATACCTGTTTTAATTCCAAACTCTTTGGTCACCCCAATCCTCTAGTTTGTCACCTTTCATTCAACACAATTCCTGACAACCCTCCGAGGCGTCTGAAAAAAAGATGGCAAAGGGACCTTCTAAATTCTTTTCTTTTTTTTCCTGATATTTCACTTCTTTTTTTTTTTATTGCGATATATTACAATCCGTCACATTCAAGGACAATAGTAATAGTGATAAAGAGTAGCTCATTCATACTATACACAAGAAATAAAAATAATAAAGAGCAATATAATAATACTAAAAGTAAATGTATATAAACTATAAGATACTAAACTAAACAAAAAATACTGATCTAACAAAATAAATACTTAATTACACACATGCTTTTATACAATATTCATTTACTCAAGTTCTCCGAGCCAAGCCTTTCCCCACACTCGAGGAGAGAAAGGCAGGACTCTAGGAGATCCAAGGGACTATCACTCAGCCGCATCACTGGTGAAACCAATGGAGGCTGAGCAGAGGCACAATAACCAGTCATACATGGCTGGAGTGGAAAATCAGGCCATTGCCAGAACTCAAATATATTCTTACAACAAGTCTCTGGACCACTGCCGCTTCAACCTTCGAGGAGGATTGTAGGGATGAGTATTGCTAGAGACGGATTGTACAATTGGATTTGGATGATATGTAAGATTTTGGTGGAATTTGGAAAATTTTTTAGGCATAAAGTCTAGGACAAATGCGATATTAAGGTCATGTAGGGTAGTGTTTGGTTTGTTATATAGAACGGTTCAACAACTATTGTTCGAAGGACTTTGGATTGAACGAGTTTGATGTTAGAAAATTTTGCTGTCCCCTTATTAGTCCAGTCTGTAGGTCCAAATAGGTTTCAGTATTGTCTTGTAGATCAGTAGTTTGTTGTCAATTGAAAGTTGAGTTTTTCTGTTCAGTAGTCTATATAGCTGGCCATATCGTCGGTTGAGTTCTTGTCTTTTGAGTGTTGTATGTGGGTTCCATGTCAGTCTTGGTCTAAAAGAAAGCCAAGCCGGACTGTGTCTGAGCAAGGAAGCTGGTGGAATTAAAGTGTACTGGTTCGATTCATTCACTTTAATGCGCCATTCATCACACCAGTGCTCAAGAAGGGAGAGGTGTCTTTGAAGATTTAAGGGACCTATTTCCGGGTCTGAGCTGGATGATATGTGTCATCAGCAAATGTTGCAAGGAAGGTATCGGAATTAGCAGGGATATCTGCGGTAAAGATGATGTAAAGCACGGGACCAAAGACGCTGCCATGGGGCTTTAATTGGATAAATATCGGAAAATGTGGTTCCAAAAGGAGCGGTCAGAGAGATAGAATTGGAGGACTAGGTATAAGGACTGAGAGAGATGGATTTTAAGCTTGAAGAGTAGCCCGGGGTGCCATACTTGGTCAAAAGCCTGTGCTGTGTCAAGAAATGCACCCGAACAGTATTGCTTGTTTTCTAGGTTTGCTGATATATGATCAACGACTCCTTATTAAACAACATAACAAGTCCTTATTAAACAGTGGAATGTTTTGAGCGAAAAACAAACTGATGGGAAGGAAGATTTTATGATTCTATGAGGGGTAGGAGTCGTTTCAAAAGGATATTTTCAAAGATTTTTTAAAGGATTGGGAGTAAGCTAATTGGTCTACAGGATGTCAAGCTGTTGGGAGATTTGCTCGGTTTTGGAAAAAAGGATAATAGTGGAGTGTTTCCATAATAGAGGAAAGTAGATGGTACGTAGTATGCAATTGTAGATACAAGTAAGGAATATGAATGCTTTGGATGGAAGTTGTCGAAGGATCTGAGAGGTAAGGAGATCGTATCTCGGAGATTTACGGAGGATTACCTTTTGTAATTTTGGGAAGGAGGCAGTCCAGGAGGCTTGTTGGATTGTGGTAGTAAAGGAATTTACGCCACTATCTAGGTCATCGGAAGTTTTTAAGGATATATTGAGATCAATTTTATCGGAGAGTATTTGGCGGAAAAAGTCCCAGTTAACCGGGCCCCTAATATATAACGTTGGAGAATATTTGAGAACGGGTTCAAGAGACACATTAAGAATTAGAGGACTATGGTCAGAGGAAAGTCCATTTAAATGTGTAATGGACCGATTAGGGGGACTTAAGCTGCTGAGATAAAGAGATCAAGAATATCAGGATTAGGATATGTGGGCCAATAGGTAGGAGAGTGGGGGGAATGGAGGTGACAGCAGCCAGCAGGTTTCAGCCACTAGGATTCGGGGTTCTGGAACCCCATTGTTGGTGCTTGGCATTTAAGGCAGCACTCAAGATGAAGAGATTTCCTAAGGAATTGAGGAGAGAACTGAATTGGGCATTGGATATGGATCGGTTAAGAAGGCAATACGCTGAAGCGAGGTTAACAGGAAAGGAGAAGATTTTAATTATAACAGCGGTGGACTGTAGGAAATCGTATGTAGGTAATGGGACTAGGTGATTGGAGAGGGATTGGTGTACAATGACAGCAGTACCGGCATGTGCTCTTTCGTCAGGGTGGTCAGTGGCGGTGGCCTTTGTAGTTTGTCGGATGTCCTTCATGGCACAAAGCACAGACTGCAGGTTGTTATTTAGACTTTGTGAACTCACCAGCTTTCCTACGCATTTTACACAATGTGGCAAATGATGACAATGCGTTTTCGTGTGGTCATACGCCTGAAAATTATGGCACTGGCCGATATTTCTCCTAGGATACGGCTTCTCAACTTTTACTCTTGTGTAATATACTCTTGTAAATTCGAAATTTTTTCGATCCTGGGAGTAGGTTCCAGGTCTATAAAAAATAGAGGTAGAGGAACTTTTACTCCTGGCTGTTTCTTACTCTCCTTTAAACATTTGTTATGTGGAGTACTTTGAAACCTAAAGTTTTTAGTTCTTCTTCTATTATTTCTGATGGCGCTGAGGGATGTATGTTTCTTACAACTACTCTTAAAGCTCGCTCCTGCCGCAATTGATAAGTATGAAAATCTGCTTCGGTCTTTGTTAGATCATTCACAATTTTTCTATAGGTCTCAGCTGTATCTGGTGATATTTTTGTGTTCATCATCATGACATTCCTTCTACTTAGACATGAGTAGCTTCCGGAACTTGCTATCTTGTTTAGTTGAGAACACAGTAATTGAAAATGTTTTAAATTCTTAACGAATATCGGTGGAGGTCGGTGGTCTCTTGGTTTCGGTACGAACTCCATTACTT